AATAAACAGCATTCACCTGCCCCTGTAGAGTCAATATCCATTTTCCATCTTCATTCTGCAGTGGTGGGACATCCTCCCCACCACAGACCTGGAACTATCATGCTGTGTACATAGCTAACCTATGTAACCACACAGTCTTATTAACATTACCTTTGACCTCCCTCTTTCCCCTTCCCTCTGACTGTTTGTTATTCACCTTGTGCCTTCATAGAATCATAGGATCATAGAATATTAGGGTTGAAAGGGACCTCAGGAGGTCATCTAGTCCAACCCCCTGCTCAAAGCAGGACCAATCCCCAACTAGATTGTCCTTGTCCTAGATTGTAAGCTTTTAGGGCTGGTATCATGTCTTCTCGTCGTCTCAGTGGAGCTGCCCTAGTATAAATGATGCAATGGAATGGTGATTCAGGCACTTGAAGAGGATGAGTGTTGCTAAACAATTTACACTGATGTATCCCCTTCTACCTAGTTAACTTTGTTTTAAGGCTGGAGCCTGAACAATTTTTCTATTCATTTGCACGCTACTAATATAGCAATTCACGCATCATAGAATTCAAATGATCTTCATTCACATTTGAAGCCGAAATGCAGTTTTATGTGCAAATGTTTCTGTACTTAACACAGCTCATTCATCATCTCTATCAATGTATTTCTTCCAGGTAAGCCCTAACAATTTAAATAGGATGTGTTCATTTCTTGTCGTTTTAGAGGACTCACTCCTACTTCCATTGACTTCACATCCTACTTCAGTCTAGGGAGCAGGATCAGACCCCATATTAGAAATTTTAGTTATTATTTAAGCATCTAGGGGTCTGATCCAAGTCCCACAGAAAGCTGGGTTTTCGGATCAGACTCCTAGAGTTCAGGCCTGAACAGCCACAGAAGTCGATTAGAATTGAGGATGCTGAGATATCAGGCATTCAGATACCACAGTGCTGAATGTGGGATAATACCTGAACAAAACAGAATAGCACCATGCAGGAGGAACACAGCACCATACAAGCTTATTTAAACCACACAGGTTAAATGGAATATTTCGTAAACATCCTTCCCTGATTCTTATTACCAATGGAAAATGTCTAAGGAGCTAGAAAAAGCTGTGTAGGGTCATGACTTCCATGCACTTTAATTAAAATTATGCTGTATTGGGATAGTGAGAACAAGGCACTTTGTGTTTATTTCAAGCACCAAATAATTTAGGGTCATTGAAGCTTTGTCTATACTGGCGTCATTCCTCATGTTTTCCATATCTCATACTCTTCTAACATGTGTTATGATTGTTTTGTCACAAACCAGTTTACACTCTTTTAATGCTTCAGAACCCACGTGGGTATCAGCTGAACTGGATTCTATTGTGCTTCCTGCTTCATCAACAAAAATTGTCACGTAAGATCCAGCTGAATATCTTTCTTATTGGTGGCGTTCTAAGAGGCTGAAAGAACCAGCTTGTCTGGGGGATGGTGGTTTGCGTCTGCAGCAGCAGCCATTAGGAAAAAAACAACTTTTGAAGTGAGCGTAGGTGACATCACTGCTACTCACAAAGGGTAAATGTGGAACCCTTAAACAGTGAACTCCAATCACAAGTCAGTGTTTAACATGCTATGTTGGCTATGGTACCACACTAGCTTTTGTTCTCATTTAAGGAAGAATCATGGTTATTGGGCTCAGGGGGACATACTGAGTTTTTACACGTGTCCATTGTCTGTTGTTTTTTTTATAATCACTTCTCTGAAAGTAATCCTACGCTTTATTATTAGTTAAACGGATTAGTAGGTTGTAGGTACGCACGTGTGTGTGTACACCAGATGCATGTATTTGTAAGGCATGGGGAAAAGACCGGCAGAGATAAAACACACAGTAGGAGAGGTCCTTTTCTGGTCTAAATGGGCATAGTTCCATTTCTGGGACACTACTTCTCAAAAATCATTCCAGTTCATGTATATACATTCTTCAATGATCATGCCTTTTATTTGAGTGTTGGATAATAATAGTTAACCCATTTGTTGTTTTACTCCTGTTCCCTTGTTAAATGTGTACGTTCTTATCTGACTTATCTAAAAAGGAAAATACCATCTTGGAAAGAACACACTCCAGAAAGGAAACTGTCAAAACATGCCTCAGCACATCTTGAGCCTAAGGGCCATGCACCTATTGCAATGGTGTTCTGAGGCATCGGTCAGTCACTTGAATTTCTGTAGTGCCTCTCATGTGGCTATTTCAAAGCACTTTACAAATCAGAACAAATCCAGCAGAGGGCAGCTCAAACAAATATGGCTTTCAGGTGTAGGTAGATTCTAGCAGGGATTCAAAGAGACTGATCCTCAGTTGAACAGGACTCTGCACATACTGAAAGGTTACAAGAAGTGAGCACAAACCTCAGGAAGTCTGGAAGTTTGGTGTGAATGCTTGTTGAAGGTTCAGATGATTCTCTCAATCTTCTCCACAGCTTTTGGGCCTGCAAAGCTAGGGTGGAAATCCAGTGAGAACAGACTTTCTTGTAAAATACTGGGGACTTCCAGTTATGATGCTCCACAAATAAAAACTTGGGGTCAGCTTGTGACCTCCAGAATCTGATCCATAATAAATCATTATTTCTGCATCTGTGCTTCTGGTCCCAGTCGAATCAAAGTGCACAAAGACAAAAAATAATGGAGGCCCAAAGTTATCCTGACTTTCATGAATCTCTGAAAAGGCTCAGCTCAGGCTTGATTTGAGTTTCAGCTGAAAGTTCAGGACAGCTCTTATTTCCTGTGAACTGGCTCACCTATCCCTAAGTGCAGTCATGAAAGCGGTGACACAGAACAATTTCTCAGATACCCACTTGAGTGCCTAACCTAGAAGGTGTCGGGGAAGGAGGTGACAAATCTGAAAAGTAGCAAGACCATGCAGGGCCAGGTATATAAGTACAGAAATCTTAATGATGTCTCCTTTGTCTGGGAGCCAGGGAGTTTTTCTCAGTGCTGCCGCAGGGCAGAAAACTCCCATATTCAAAGTTTGCCTAGAATCTTTGTTCTCTCATATGAGTTTCTCGCTCAGGCATGATCTACACTCAGAACTTAGGTCAACGTGTCTGTGGCTCTCATGGGTGTGAAAAATCCACTGCTATCGCTCTGCCGACCTAACCCCTGGTGTAGACACAGCTAGGCTGATAGACAGATACTTCCATAGACATACCTACCGTCTCTTGGGGAGAGGGAGTTCTTACAGCGATGGAAAAACCCCTTCCATTGCTATAATCTGCCGCTGCACTGCAGAGTTAAAGCCGCATAGCTGCAGCACCTGCAGACATGGCCTCGCTCTGTACAGTACACGGACTCTCCGTGCTCTAGGATATTTTATCAGCAGCATCAGGCTGAAGCACTAGTAAGAAGACTAATAATAAAAAGTGCAGTTACAGTACGTAACTTACAGTATGTTCAGGCAGTGAACAAGGGGGAAGAAATACATATTTGAGCTGCATCACTATTGGTACCGACTTTATATTTCACCCCAATATACCATTGTAAGCAATACTCTGCCAAATGGAGGGAAGGAGAGAACTGAGAGCTGCTGAAATGCTGTTCTTGTAGAGGGGTGGATAGGATTCAGAAAGCTCCCACACAGAGAAACAATACATAATAACAGCTTTGGGCTAAGATTGCAGTCTTGTCTTATTCTGCACAGCAGGGGAGGGAGGGAGTGTAAGCCCCTGTCTGGTGCAGAGCACAAGCACCCCCTTTGACAAGAGAGGGTGGGGACTGGGCTGCACACACCTCCAGGAGTTGCTGGCCAAATGCAAGAGGGTAAGTAAGCTGCAGTTACTCACCTCCCTCTTGCAGCAAGAAAGGAATTGTGACTCCAAGTTATAATTTCTCCATGGTCAGGGCAGTTATGTGCCACCCCTACCTCTGGGCTGAGCTTAGGGCTCAGTGTACCCCCTGTGTAATTACTCTTATGTGTATTACCATAGTGCCTAGGATCCATAGCCATGGACCAGGACCCCATGGTGCTAGGTGCTGTACAAACACACAGCTGAAAGACAGTCCCTGCTACAAGGAGCTTAATGAGACATTTGGCTATTATCACCATGATTCCTTTGGCTAGCTTCTGCCTAGTCTTTATATGGGTCTTCATTTGATGGGGAGGAGCTTTGCTTTCCTTCCATGGCCCCTTTAAAGGCCTGGCACAATTGCATCCCCTATGTTCAGTATATATCACATAGGTATATGGGACCAGAGCCTTGTATCTTTATGATCTTTGCTTTTCAAGACACTATCATTGTGGAAGGCAGCCAGCATCAAGTTAATGCCTCGACTGAGGGGAAACGGCACTTCAGAAGGGAAAAATGAATTCCGTGTTACGATATGCAGATGTATTGGAAGAAGCTGTTTGGAGTCAGACACCAGGAAAAAAAATAAAACCAAACGCCACATGCCTATGTGGGGAAGCATTTGCTAATGCAGTCATTAGGATTTACTCCAAAGCACCTTTAACTCATTTTACAGAAAACAGCAGGGCTGAAAAATCAGATAGAAATAATATAAAATAAACATGTTTTAGCAAAAGGACAAATGATCTCATTTGAAAACTGCACAGGATCTTCCTACCTGCTGGGCTTAATTTCAAAATCCAGTGCTATCATTAGGAAAATAACAAGAAAAAACTATTTGGTCTCACTTTGGGTTCATTTCATCTACAATTGCAAAAGAAAGAAGTGGTAGGGTGGGGAGTATCCAGCACCACTGTGGGTCTGTGTCTGTGGGCCATTTTGCAGGACCAAGGCCCTTGTTTGTCATTTGTTAAACTCTTTTCCTGGCTTTTTCAAACCCTAGAATATACAAGACATGGCATTAGGATTAAGGTGACTTTCATGCAAAAGGAGAATGTTTCCCTGGTGTCTATTACTTGCAACATCCTGGAGATATCCACTCCAAATTCTTGACCAAGACACTGGAGAAAACAAAGAACATACTTCACTCAACGAATCCTTCTCAGGTTTTAGATGAAACCCACTACATGCTGGGGCAAGACTCTGGGTGTATAAGTAATAATAATAAATACTTTGAATGTATACAGCACTTTCCAATCATAGGCTTTACAAAGGTCCGTAAATATCATTTTACACCCTTTTATAGGTAGAATTAACAGTGTAGCCAGCCGTAGAGATTTTTTTTCACAAGTCTCATGATATTTACTGTTTTTATTCAAGCCCCAGCTTATGGAGTCAAATGATCTCACAGAATCTCAGCTTTCAACTGGGAAAAAAAAAGCTTCTGGCCTTCATGGTTCTGAAGGAAAACCTGAAAATATGAACAAAGTATACACAAAAGGCTCAGAAACCAGAAGGTATATTAAAAATAAATGTATTATTTTTTTTAAAAAAAAAACCCTCTTGTTATTTTTACACCAATGCAATGACTTTGGACCCTGCCTTGTAATTTTTGAACATGGAGTTGGCAATACTGTCGACAGCACTGGGATGCTACACTCATGCTGTGCATATATCAATAAAACTTGTGTTAACATATGTTATATAACAGTGAATCAGCCCTCCCAGCCATCTGGGACGCAGCCACCCCACTCCGCTCCTCTTCCAAACTCCTCCACATCCTCTTCTTACATAAAGCTTTCTTGTGCTGCTCTTCTCCACCCATGTCCAAGCACCGAGAATGCTTGAAGTGCTGTGCCATGGACCATAACTGTCTGAGGAGGGCTAACAGCTCTGAGGAGCGGGGCCCTCTGGATTTGAACACGTCCGGGCCTGGTGTCTTTTTCTCTCCTTCCTCGTTAGGATCCCTCAGAGAGGAAGAATGGTCTCATGGTTAAGGCACTGCTTGGGACTCATGGGAGCTTGGTACTGTTCCTGGTACTGCGACAGACACCCTGTGGGATGTTGGACATGTCACATAATTTCTCTGTGTCTAAATTCCCCCATCTGTAAAATGGGCATAATAATGCCTCCTTGTCTATATAGATCATAAGCTCTTTGGGGCAGGCACTGTGACTGTACAGCACCGAGCTCAAATTGGCCCTGCTCCTTGATTGGGGTTCCAATGCACTGTGGTGATATAAATAAGTTACCATGGGACCAGGGAAAGCTGATGGCCTCATAGCTTTTCCTCAGGTGATTGGGAGTCCTGGCTGTAGAAAGTTCTCTCTGAGTGGCTAGTAGCGCCCCCAAGCTGCTGGTGGAGCGGTGTGACGAACATTACCGCTTGTAAGGGAGGTGAAGCACTTTTCACCTTTAACAAATCCTGGAAAGATCAAGTAAAACAATACTTATTACTGAAAGCCAATTCTTTGTAACCTGAGGCAATTTAGCTAAATGACTTTCTTCTGCAGGTTCTAGAGTTTCCTCCAGTTCATTTCTTATATTGAAATAGGTTGGGGGAAAAAACTGTTATCTATAAAAGTTGGATTTGTTTTTTTTTCTCTCTCTCTCAGCAGCTATCTGAGCATACAAAGTGCTATGCAAGCAGAATGGTTTTCTTTCTCAACTTCCATCCTGCTCCAATTCCCTATAAATGGAATTTGTCCAGATTCAGTAACCAGAGCATCTAAGTGTATCTATCTGCTTATCAGTGGGCAACTCCGACTACACATTTACTTACGCATTCAGGTTACACGGCAGGTCTCAGCTGCTTATTGATTTTACTCCACTAAAATAGATGATTTTGTTTCGTATTGAAAAAGTGAACAATTTTTCTGACACCAACCACTTGTTTAATAGTCTTGGAATAATCTATATTTCATTAAAATGATGACTTATTACACCCCAGCACTCCCCTGTCTTCTTAACTATAGATTTAAGGCAGTTTAACACTAGTATAGCATATAATAAATTGGCCTGGTCTGGCAGCACTTTGTTATAAAGTCATTCTTCACTATATAAACACCGTACTAGCATATATTAGAGCTCTTCCTCCGATTTGTTTCCAAGAAAAGCTCCTTCCTACCGAAACAGATTCACTACATATTTTTTATAAGCCACATAAAACTTTTAGCTAAGTAGAGGGCACCACAATCAATATTCATAGCATGATTTATAGGAGACGGAAGCATTCCACTAAATCCTGACCATAAACCCACTACCGTAAAGTATTTAATACAGTAATCCATCTTGTGGATATTTTAAACTGGGCATTAATGGTGCTGAAAAGTCGAGTGGCAGTGAATCACCTGCATTAGAGGGAGGTAGTTAGGAACTTTATTAGCATAAATGAGTCAAACTTTTCTAAGCCTTTCACCTCTTTAATTTTGAATCAGTGATGTCTTGCTTTCTAATTTTTGTCCTGTGTGTTCAGTTGCTGGTATCCCACCTGATTCAACCTGACCTGGTCGAATAGATTCATCTTCACATTGCCTATGGAGATATAAAGAGCATTCTGTGGCAGTTCGGATATTGGCAGTTATCAGATATAAACTGCCAGATATAAACTGCCTTGCAAGCAGGCTGAAGGTACTCCCAGTCCATGGTCCACTCCGCCTCCACTCACCTGAGAAAATGAAACCAGACACTAGTACACGAGCCAATTTGCACATTGCTCAAGCATTAAAAAAAAAAAGCAGCCGGGTAGGGGAAGGAGCAGTTCTGCTTTGCACTGTTTGCTCAGACAACACGCTCTCTTTGTCTGTCATTATTGAGAGGACCACGTCATCTGAATGGGAAGTTAGCGAATGACTCTGGGATAGGGTGTACAAATCCCACATTGGGCCAGAATGGGTTAATGAGAGCTTGTGGCCTCAGTCGGCTTTGTCCCATTATACTTACAGTAGGTGTCATCCTGGAGGAAGAAGGACTGATTCTGGCTCAGTTGGGGGCTGCCCAGGAAGGAGAGCAGCTCGCTGTCTCTCTCGGTAAGAGAAGAGTAGCTGGAGTCGGGGAGATGAGATGGACTGCAGGCAGACAGACGAAGCCTTTTGTTTTCAGTTTTTGTTTTGTTTAAAATTTTCCAGGGAAAGAACCATGGGGTTAGAAGGGACCACAAAGGTCATCTAGTCTAACCCCTTGCCAAGATGAAGGGTTTGTTGTGTCTAAACCATCCAAGACAGATGTCTATACAGTCTCCTTTTGAAAACCTCCAGTGAAGGAGCTTCCACAACCTCCCTAGGCAGGTCTGTTCCATTTTCCTGAGATTGACTCTAAATCTGCTATGCTGAATCTATTACTTCTTGTCCTGCCTTCTGTGGCGAGAGAGAGAGAACTTTCCTCCATCTTTCAATGGCAGCTTTTCAAGTATTTGAAGACCACTATCATGTCCCACCTTAATCTCCTCTTTTCCAAACTAAACATATGCAATTCCTTCACCCTTTGCTCATATGGCTTGCATTCCATCCCCTTGATCATCTTTGTCACTTGCCTCTGGACCCTTTCCAGTTTCTCTAAATTCTTTCTATACATTGGTGCCCAAAATTGGACACAGTCCGCCCGCTGAGGCCTAACCAGTGCCGAGCAGAGCGGTACTATTTCCTCCTGTGATTTGCATGCTATGCCTCTGTTAATGCAACCTAAAAGTACATTTGCTTTTTTTGTAACAGCATCACGTTGCTGTCCCACGTTGAAATTGTGATCCCCCACAACTCAAGGATACTTCTCAGCAGTGCTGCTGTCAAGCCAGTTATCCCCCATGCTGTATTTGGGCATTTGGTTTTTCTTCCCTAAGTGTAGCACCTTACATTTGCCCTTGTGGAATTTCCTGTTGTTGTCTATAGCCCATTTCTCCAATTTATCAAGATCCCTCTGAATTTTAGCTCCATCCTCCAAAATGTTGGAAACCCCCCTAGCTTTGGGTCATCTGCAGATTTGATCAGTATGCTCTCTATTTCTACATCCCGGTCATTTATAAAGATGTTATCAACATCAGACCCAGAACAGATTCCTGTGTAACCCCACTTGAGACGTCCCTCCAATCCTACCTCATTCCACTAATAGTTACTCTATGTTTGTGGTTAATTAACTAATTATAGAAGTAGAAGTGGATGGCAACATGGGCAGCAGTGGCCATGAGATGGTCAAGTTCAGGATCCTGACAAAAAGAAGAAAGGAGAGCAGCAGAATATGGACCCTAGACTTCAGAAAAGTAGACTTTGACTTCCTTAGGGAACTGATGGTCAGGATCTCTGGATGGCTAATATGAGGAAGAAAGGTGTCCAGGAGAGCTGGCTGTATTTTAAAGAAGCCTTATTGAGGGTGCAGGAACAAACCATCCCAATGTTCAGAAAGGTTTCAGAGGAACAGCCGTGTTAGTCTGTATTCGCAAAAAGAAAAGGAGTACTTGTGGCACCTTAGAGACTAACCAATTTATTTGAGCATGAGCTTTCGTGAGCTACAGCTCACTTCATCAGATGTATGAAGAATAGCAAATATGGCAGGCAACCAGCTTGGGTTAACAGAGAAATCTTTGGTGAGCTTAAACACAAAAAGACAGCTCACAAGAAGTGGAAACTTGGACAGATGTCTAGGGAGGAGTATAAAAATATTGCTTGAGCAGGCAGGGGTGTAATCAGGAAGACCAAAGCACAACTGGAGTTGCAGCTTGCAAGGGTTGTGAAGGGTAACAAGAAGGGTTTCTTCAGATAAGTTAGGAACAAGAAGAAGGTCAGGGAAAGTGTGGGACCCTTACTGAATGGGGGAGGTAACCTAGTGACAGATAATGTGGATAAAGCTGAAGTACTCAGTGCTTTTCTTGCCTCAGTCTTCACAGACAAGGTCAGCTCCCAGACTGCTGCACTGGGCAGCACAGTATGGGGAGGAGGTGAGCAGCCCTCAGTGGTGAAAGAACAGATTAAGGACTATTTAGAAAAGCTGGACATGCACAAGTCCATGAGGCCAGATGCAATGTGTCCAAGGGTGCTGAGGGAATGATATATCTTGACTTTAGCAAAGCTTTTGATATAGTCTCTCACAGTATTCTTGCCAGCAGTTTTAAAAAGTATGGATTGGTTGAATGAACAATAAGGTGGATAGAAAGCTGGCTAGATCGTCTGGCTCAATGGGTAGTGATCAACCACTCGATGTTTAGTTGGCAGATGGTATCAGCGGATTGCCCCAGGAGTTGGTCCTGGGACCAGTTTTGTTCACTATCTTCATTAATGATCTGGAGGATGGGATGGATTGCACCCTTTGGAAGTTTGCATATGACACTCAGCTTGAGGGAGAGGTAGATACACTGGAGATTAGAGATAGGGTCCAGAGTGACCTAGACAAATTGGAGGATTGGGCCAAAAGGAATCTGATGAGGTTCAACAAGGACAAGTGCAGAGTCCTGCATTTGGGATGGAAGAATCCCATGCACCTCTACAGACTAGGGACTGATTGGCTAAGTGGCAGTTCTGCAGAAAAGGACCTGGGGATTTCAGTGGACGAGAACCTGGATACGAGTCAACAGGGTGCCCTTGTTACCTAGAAGGCTAAAGGCATATTGGGCTGCATTAGTAGAAGCATCGCCAGCAGATTGAGGGAAGTGATTATTCTTCTCTATTCAGCACTGGTGAGGCCACATCTGGAGTACTGTGTCCAGTTTTGGGCCCCCCACTACAGAAAGGATGTGGACAAATTGGAGAGAGTCCAGCGGAGGGGAACGAACATGATTAGGGGGCTGGGACACATGACATATGAGGAGAGGCTGAGGGAACTGGGCTTATTTCATCTGCGGAAGAGAAGAGTGAGGGAGGATTTGATAGCAGCCTTCAACTACCTGAAAGAGGGTTCCAAAGAAGATGGAGCTCTTAGTGAACTATTTCACTAGGAGCGTGGTGAAGCACTGGAATTAGTTACCTGAGGGGGGGGGGGGGTGGAATCTCCATCTTTAGAGGTTTTTAAGGACTGGCTTGACAAAGCCCTGGCTGGGATGATTTATTTGGGGTTGGTCCTGCTTTGGGCAGGGGGTTGGACTAGATGACCTCCTGAGGTCTCTTTCAACCCTAATCTTCTATGATTCTAGGTATTCACTTAATGAGTAGTTATGCCAAGCCCACATTTCTTCAGCTTACTTGTCAGAATGTCATGTGGGTCTGTATCAAAAGCCTTTCTGAAATCCAGATATATGATGTCCACTGCACTGCCCCTATCCACCAAACCAGTTACTCTGTCAAAGGAGGAAATCAAACTGGTTTGGCATGATTTGTTCTCAGTGAATCCATGTTGGTTGCTAGTGATTACCCCTTCATCTTCCAGGTATTCACAAATTGAATGTTTTATACATTGCGTTAGTAGCTTCCCAGGTATCAAAGCCATGCTGTCTCATCCGTAGTCCCCCGGCTCCACATTTTTCATAGGGTTCCTTTTTCGTCAGGGTTTGTTACAATTTTTTTTTTTAAATGGGAGAAATTTGATGAAAAAATACGTTTACAGTCTTCTGGGTAAATATCTGGGTTAATAAGGAGACAGAAAAAAGAGCAAACAAACAAAATAAGAGTATTGAATGGAAAAACACTGTGGTTTATTTCATGCACTGTACATTAACAATACATACACATATGTGTGGGTGAAGGTATCTTCCACTGCATTGCCTTCCTTTAATGGAACCTCACATTTGCACTTACATTAATTGATTATTAGCATAAAGACCCCTACCTACTGGAATGTATTGGATTTTCTTAACATAATCAGCATTCTCATGCACTTGATTGATCCCAATCTTGGGTGAAAATCAGTAAAAAACATATTATAGCTGCTGTAAAATCTGGACCTTTTTTTAAAGTAAAATTCAGTAAAAAAACTGAAAATGAAGGACCTTACAGACAAAGCCTTCCTGAAGGAAGGTAGACTTAGCAGCAAGACTCCTGCTGAGTCAGGAACTGCCCTGCCAGGGGAGTCGTGAAAACTCTCGTGAGCAGAACCACTTGACTAGCAGGAAGTGCTAAGAAGCTCTTCAGTGCACTGATGGAAGGCACGTAGAGGGAGCAGAGTTGGGAGCCTGGGAAGAGGCTATGGCAAAGCCCTATGATGGGGAATGACAGGAAGTAGTCCAGGGAGGCAGCAAGGAGAGGGAGGGCCTGGGTTCCTCTACCAGCCCATGGAGGAAGGTGGAGCAGAAACCCCCTGACAAGGGGTAAGGATTATTGAAAGCCCCTGATACCAGGGGTAAAGACTAGTGAGTGTGGAGTCAAAGGCCCAATGTGAGGTCAAAACACTATTACCTGTTGGACTAATGGTTTACCCTAGGAAGGATGGGACTAGCTGTGATCCAGCCAGAGCGCTGAGTTGCAAGAGAGCAGCAGACCACCATGGGGCCAGAGCAACTGGGGCTCTAAAGGGGGAGGGCCTGTGACCCACCAGCAGGGGCATGCCAGTTGGTGAGTCACATGCTTACAGACTCAAGAACTAGAGAGCCACTTGCTGAACAACGTGACTCAGATTGTGACCTAGCAGTCCATGCTCGGGGGGAAACCTTCTTCATGTATATTTCCTATGTGGAAATGGGAGTCAGGTACCACCACAGCAGGGTTTCCCACATTCCCAATGGGGAGCCATATGAGGAGGGAGGCAATGGGG